ATTTTCTACTTTTCTGTATTCCGCTAAAAGTTGCCAACTTACCTATATTCTAATAATAGTCTTCTGTTTCTTCCGTGCGAGTCTTCTTTTAAAGAATATACTGTCGAGACTAAAGGAAAAGCTAGCATCACGATCAGCTACCATTAGGCGTTGTTAGATATTAGCATGGTCTAGCCCTACATACCTGTGAGAGCACGATATCATATATGTGGCAATATAATACATACAAGTATGATTACTATATGCGACCAGAATCTTTCTCTAAAGATCAATTCATTCACATAGTTAGTGTAAGAAACGTTTTTCTTTTTGTATGACATAGATTAGAAGACTCGATTCACTCCTAGGGCAAAAATGGCATCAAAAGTGCGCTAATGCAGGGGCTAACAAATGAGCATTTAACTTGGGGAATGGCTAGATGATAAAGAAGGGCGTTATGATTTCCGAAGCCTGAGCGTAGTTAAACAAAACGAGATCACTGCCCGCCCCATTTGTTGCTGTTGTTACTGGGCATGCGATCGGTGAAGGTCTGAGTCCCAGAATGTTTTGTGTCTCTCTGTCTGTTAATTACCATCCGTTAGGTTGTTAAAATGGGACTTGTATTTTGGCAACATCTCATTCATAGCACTGTTAATTGAATACGGGTTATAGTTATCACCTGAAATCTGTCCAGCAATGCTAGTTTGCCTTATATCCAAGAATCATAAAATCAGATATTTACTGCCACGAGTTTTTTGCATAAATATGTTCGTAGTCTTATCCATATACCTCGAGCATCATTGTTTTCAAGCTTATGGATCAAGGGAGATATGTTAAGAGCTCAGTGTCTATCGGTTCGTGTACCACGTCATTCCCTGTTCATCATTTTAAGTATCAAATATGTTATACGCTTAGCTTCATTTAGCTCTATTTAGCTTCAAATAAGTTCTAGAATTAAAGGAACTCTGAGCGCGGTAAAAAGCGACTATCTACATTTACAAAGTAAATGTCAACCCACTAAACATTTAAGTCAACTACATGGCTAAGTGGAATTGTTTATTCGTGGTACTTTTTTGCATTACGTGACACGGTTTTTCTTTTAATTGGTTACCGAATGAATGTTCGTTAAAGCGAACAGACATAAAACTATCAATAAAACAAACGCGTTCAGCTTGGCGACTGTTTTGACATACAATCACGGCGTATGATGTATGAGATGGAAACTCGCCCAGTAACTGTGACACAATACTTATTTTAACTGGGTAAGTTAACCAGCGGATTTGCCTTTCCGAGCTAAGCCAGGTACTGCCGATTGTGTTTTGCACTTACTTGCATTTCGATACATGTGATTGACAAACTCTACGGTTCGCGTAACCATTTAGTGGTAACATATTCGCCTACTAAAGTTAAAGATATTAGGGGCTATTTAAATTCGGAACCGAGTACAGGTCCAATTCCGTTCATGCTGGGGGCAAGCTATCAGAAGCAAAGATTAACGGCAGTTCCAAATGTAAACGTTTATTTAAGTATGTTTAAACTTGTCAAGAGTACTCAGTTTTTTCCGTGAAATCGTGTGGCATGAACTGGTAAGTTATCTTTTCACCCAACATTGCAACGTTATTAGAAGACTTATTTTTACGTAATAACTTAAAACTTGATTCATGGTACCTATCATTAATCAATGGAATTGACACCATTGATTATAAAAACTAACATACTGAATAATTTCCACGCTTATCGCTGACTAGATAGCACTTGTGCCGGTAGCAGCGCATCGACACTCTTGCGGTGCGTACCTATGACATGTAAGTATATTGCGACTTAAGAACGAAATGTAGAAGGAATATATCGTGCTCGATCCGTACTATAACGCCGTAATTACAACTGATCACAGTGACAAGACAGTGAAGTCTAGCTGGCAAGAGACTAAATGATTCTAGAATGGATGAATCGACTAATCTCTGTATCAACTCTGAGGCTGGGGTTTGTAGTGAAACGTTTTACAATGACTGGCGATAGATTAGAACGTGGGAGATAGCCGCAGGTGTCGACGCCTTTTCGTGTAAGCGCTTCTTTGGATTTATATATGAGCTTCCGTCGTGCACAGTCCAGAACCGGTTCGAATGGGTTATTGGCAGCACGGGAACGTGGGATGTATTCAAGACCCATATACTGAGCGCTTTCCACGTAAACTGCCACTCCACACGGCAGAGTACTACACACGTGTCTGTACATACTCATACAGGGGTAACGTTGTCTATTCGAGCTCGTCAGGCTGTTTTTTTTTTTATTGACCCGATCCTATAAGACCTCAAATGATCGTGCCAGTGTAATAAGTCTGTGAACTTCGTGGGCTTCGCAGAGCTTACGCGCGACTACCGAATGGACGGATGTATGCCTGACATCAAACGGCTGGCGAGGTCAACCACCAGGTTACTTAGTGAACCTGTGCACTATGGTGGGTAAAGTCGTTTCTATTTTACGCGAAAGCTAGCAATAGCCAGAATAAATGCATTACGTTACCAACGATCCCCTGCTTCTGGTAGTGCCAGATTTGAAGCTGCGGGCCTTAAGGCGGCCGATGTCCGAAGAACGCAGCGGAAGGATCTTCGCCTAAAGAAGATTTCTGTTCGAGTTGAAAAAGGAGCATATTCTCTCGACTATATACTCATCACTGGGCTTCTGTTCCGAATCAGAAAAAAACAGAAAGAGCACTGTTGTTCATTCTGCGAGACGGGGCTTGGCGCCGCGACTATGTGCTGCTATTCCACCAAAAGGGGTAGGCATCCAGACACTCCATAAACCAAGCAAAGTATACTAACGTGTTTTCGTATAGGCCCCGAAATAAATTCATAAGTCAGGAAGCCAGTGATTTCGTGTGTTACTGAAGTCTGAAAGCTATAAGACCGATCGTTGGTATCCCGATGTCTACAATTAAAAAGGCAAGCGCTAGCAGACAATGTCGTGACGCGCATGCCTAGGCATCACTTGGTAGGATTTCAGTTCGTGAGAAGCAAGGTTTGGTCTAGGCAAGCAGGACACATTTTCAAAAAAAATCATTATGTTAGGACACACATTCGGGGAATGGGTGGTGCACTGCAGCATGTATTAATAATTTTAATCCTAGGTATTTTCGTCTTTCGACTGAGAACTTCACTACCCGCAACAGGCAGGAATTCGAACTTATCAACACAATCAAGCAATTAGTAAATATATAATAAGCCGAATTTCACGTTACCTCACTGAGCCCTTGTAGTTTGATCACAAACCTAATTTAGAGCATCATGAGGGATGTTCCTAACTAATAATATATGAGGACAGTTTGACCTAATCGTTCGCTTGAGCGAAAACGTATCTGCCATTAAGCTTCTCTGCCGACCGAAGACAAACCGAAGACAAATTAACTAGGTACGTATCTGCCCTAGCATCAGCATCCTTTTTGTACACCAAACAAATTCCCCGTCGATTTCTTAAATATAACTAGATATTACTATGAAAGTACACTTGATTCAAATTAACGGCAAGAGAATAGGCCCCAAGACGGTGATCTTTATTGCTCCGTGATAAGGGTACCGATGCTCGTTTGTTTCTACTTCTAAATAGTTATTTAGCCCTTAAGAGAATTGGTTCCTTATTGTGTTACATTTGAAAAGTATATCCATAGCTAAATTGTGATGACACTTAAGTATGTTAACAAATAGACAAATGATGACCCAGACCATTCGCGCTCTACCGTACACATGTTGATGCTAAAAGGCTTATAATTTGCCGGCAAACATTACGCAATGAGGGAATTGAAGTCGGCACCTTAACTCCGACATTATCCGTATTTAGAATTGTACATACGAATCATGTCTATTGATTGCTTCTGCTGTCCACAGAAACAGTAACGCACTCTTTTTTGTTTGTTTGAAAGCTAAAGTTTTCGATCAGATGCCAATACGACTGTATACAAATGGCAATGGCTATCTCTGGTCGATCCTCTATAGCTATAAAACGTCTCTTATGTTATTCCTTGAGAATTGGATTGATTGTGCTATCTATCCCATACAGGGTTCATTGCGACGTTCCATTGCCCTTCTCCCCGAAGCCGTTTGATCGTCTATTTGCTGAAATCTGGGAGCCTGCTTAAACGACCTTGAGGTTGTCATCACAGACGATTTTTCCGCTGCTGCATTTGTAGTCGCTTGTGTAATAGCAGCAGCTTCTGCCGGTTAGTCGGGCGACCGATGCACCTGCTTTACTCACGATGGTGAACTTGAAGCAGTAACTGTGAATACGTATGAGCTCTTCTTCTTTCTTTGCTCCTGGTCGTACTGTCGATTGGCATCGACACTATTATCTTATAATAGATTGGACTGATCGATGATCCCTTCTTCTTTGTGTGTTTGACTCTGTCTTCAGTAAATGGCGATAACGACTATACGTAGCCGTTGTCCAGCGCGGGCGTGCAGATGCGTCAGAGGTTTCTGCTAAATCTTTACCGACATGCGCCGCGGTCTTCCCGCAGCCTTCCCCACGTCTGTATGCGTTGCTTGTTCACTGCTCTCTCTAAGCCGTCAACAGCAAAAACGCCATTACGATCGGTTTTGCTGCCTCTGTAGCCACGATCAACATGAACTTCTTCAGCAACAAGAAAAACAACGACCGCCTCCGCTGCGACCGTGTTAGCGGTCGTGGTCGCTGCCCCGGCACCCGCATCGGCAACAGCGCGAGAACCATTGGCGCTAACAGTAGCAGCAGCATTACGGGCTGTTACAACCAAATATCCAGTGCTGGCGCGACAGCTGTTGCCGATGCCACTGACGGTTCTCAACAAGACTCGGCAGTGAGGGAGCGGGCGAACGTAACGTATTATTATTATTGCTATAGCCTGCCGGCGGTTGTCCGTTGTCGCTGCCCTGCTCCCTGGTATTCCCCAATGACTTTTGGAACCTTCACCGCCAGGTGGCGTCGCTGGGCTGACGGGGATGCAGATGTTGGTGTGAGTGGGTATAAAACACACGCGACGCGTGCCAGAGGGGACATTTGAACTTGAATATTTGCCGTGTGACCAACGACCGCACAGCTGACCGTTGCACTGGCGCGCGAATAGAGGGCTCCGCTGTGTAGTTGGTCACTTAGACAAGGTTCGACCTGGGGACCTATATCCTATAAGGGGCAAAGTTCCTCGTGCTTGTTGATCCTAGTAAGTGAAGGTGCTTGTGGCGGTTTGTGCTGAGGACTATCAGACGGAGAGACACTGTGTTTATGCGGGATGGAGCATTACAAAACAATCAACATGAGAGTGAGTGAAGTCGACCAATTAATTCAAATTGTTAACCATTATTAATCGGTGTGCCTTATCGGATGTACATTAATGCCTAACACCTAAGATAATTAACAAATCATAAGCGAGTAGAGGAGAAGGCGGTCGATTTTGAATGTAGATTGGTGTTGCATAGAATGAAATATGTCACTTCACCTCCCAGTCTCGTGTTTCCCTATATCAGGAACGAGCTCACAAAATTGGCTCGCTATCCGTGCCTTAAAAATACTATACCGAACACCGTGTTACTTTTTCTATATCAAGCTATGAGATGAAGATAAAGCTGTAAGCAAATTTTTTTGTAATATCAAGTCTTCGCTAAATACCATGAAGATATTACAGTTACGAGAATTGATCCGATCTGGCCAATCAGTAGTATAAAACTCGGACGGCCTCCAGCTAAATTGTCTTAAAATGATCCATATCAGCAGGAGCTTCAATTCTATTACGACATGAATCTTTGCAATACAGAAAGAACACTGGTGATGAGGTCGCGTTCCCATATTTTGATCTAAATGTACTGGCATTATCTACTAAATATATTAATAGTGTCTAACTCTACGCGAATCATTAAATACATACGTCTATGAATCCTAGAATGATAAAGAAGCTCCATGTCAGGCGCTGGAACAAAATTTAATATGGGTATTGTTTCATATATGCAGCTGAGCCGCTGATACGTGACGGCAGGGATTGTGTAGGAGGTTTATCTAGTATATATAGAAAGCCAAATATGGAAGTTAAATCCAAACATTACGTAAATGCTAGATATTGGATAGTCAGAACTTTTCTGCTCCATTGTTTTAGTTGAACAGCATTCATATTCCTGCTATTTAAGTTGATTTCGAACGTTTCTGACTTTGGCGAAGTACGTTCTTCATCTCAACGATGAACTGTAAGCTACCCCTAATTGTTTTCGCCAATTTTCGTTTTAGCCTTTCAGCAGAATTAGCTCTCCGAAACTCCACGAGGTAGCTCCGTAAGTCATTTACTGCTGCTCTTGAAAACTTAGCGTTGCCGTACGTGCTTTTATTTTATTCTCCAAACGCATTAAGTATATGGGTCGATAAGAGTTAAGCTAGATCTTCTTTACTTATTATATTAGTTATTTTGCATTCACTATATGACTTAAAAGGTGCTCCTCACGGTGCGGCTAACGTACATCCCGCTTAGCGCGTATTGCCTGATTTCCCTAATTCGAAACAATTTTCGCTGCAGTAGTTGAAGCTCATACCAAACCTCTATGGTGACCTGATTTTGTTATTTGTGAAGACAGTCGACGATCATCAACTAACTGACTGACAGACAGACAGATTGTTTAACTGACTAAAGACGAATGCCCCCGAAGAAGCTTGCGATGCGGTGGATCACGTACGATCACGATGATGATCATTAGCTAGATCATACCTATTGAACGAAAGACAGATTTATACGTTTTCACCGCGCTAATGAAGCATCACGAGTGAATGCCATCGCTGATTTGCTACGATACATGGCAATCGGAACAAAAGCGGAACAGGGAAAGTAAGAACGCTTAGATAGTCCGCTTAGGAGGTTGTGTGATCCACAAGCAATAACTCGATAAGGATAGAACAGCACGGAGTACCGCACGCAGGAATTGCGTGCTACGTTTGTAAATGACCGAATCGCGAGATAACCACAACGATCATTAGTAATAGCTAGGAAAATATGCATTGCGAGCGTCCGCAGGATCGGCTCTCCTTTCCCGAATCTTTTTTCCATAGTGTACACTGTAAGGGTTGTTAAAAAAAAAAAAAAAAAAAGTTCTGTAAATTGCAGCCGTTGTAGAGCAGGTGCTTCATGCTGACGAGGTACACTCGTTTGGGAGAAACAGGTTTATTCTTCGAAGGGCATACAGTGAAAAGACTATATTGATACATTAATTTGATGCTGATATAGCCGATTGTTTGTGCCTGTTGGCCCAAAATCACCCGTTCATAAAGTGTTATGTTCACTAGTTTGATTCTATTAACGATTGTTGCATTTCGTCTTTCGTTACTCTATTTCGTATTCTGTCGGAAAAAAACATGAGCAGGCGGGCATTTACAAACGTTTTTGTGTTGGTCAGCTGCCAACCCTGTTGAACTTCCGCCGCTAGTCCACAGGAAAATTAATTTTCTCTCTCAATGAGCGAATTTGAAGCCAGACGAAATGTTATACAAGACATTGTCGTCTGACTGACACCATGTAATTAGGCTGTTGTCGCTAACGTTTCCAAGCCGTTTCACAACAGAAAACGCTAAGAATTTCATCCATACCAATTGCAGTTCATCACTTATGCACGATTCATAAGCACATGTCAATATGCACAGAAAATGTCAAATGAGAGAGTTCTGTGCTATGGATCAACAATACAAACAACGAAAATTCATGTTATAGTTAGCTTACTCGTTAATGAGAATTAGGTCTTTAGAGTTAATTAGAATTAGGGTTCGTGTTTCGCTCCGTGCACACTGTGATCGTGTGTAGTAGATGCTAAAGCTTTTTATTTTTCTCGTGACGAAACGTAATCAAAAACAGATGTATAGGTCTTCAGTAACGTGCAGCCTTAGATAATAATGCTAAAACCCAATTCAATCGCCATACTCTAAACGATTCCTTTGCTATTTCGTTCTTACATGACAAACGAACGTCTTGTACTTGCTGCATCAACACATATTTTTTGAATTCTAGAATCGTTATCACCATTATACCACTACCGTTGTTGTCACTTCCCCGGGCTGAGTTTCCCTTACCATGGTAATGGTTATATAGCGGGAATTGAGTCAGTGTATAATTTTCTTCGGCCGTTTTTCCGTCCGTGCTGGATGTACAAGTTGTAGATCAGCACCAGTAACTGTGTCGTAGGACACGCTGGGAAAGCTAGAAATCCTATTCGCTCACTTGTCGACCGCCGCCTGTCTGCTTCAGACCAGTGTCTCAGCTACAGATCGATGTTCGACAGACATGTAAAAGAAATATATCATCTAGACAAGATGCGTTTGTTGTCGAAGCGTTCGGCGTCGGGCCATTCGTCCGCGTCTCAGGGGGTGCTTCCCATTTTAGTGTGTTTATTTCAATGTCATCAATACAGCTGCAGCGCTCCGTAACTAGCTCATAGGTGCAACGGTGTTCCAGACACAATTCTATGGACATCTCTAGAAGTTCAGTATTTTGAGTTTCTCTTCTTTCCGTACAGGTCATGGTGTGCTGGTTTATCATGGTAGATATGACAGAAAAACAACAGTGAGGGGAAGCCGAGCGGATGAGAGGTGAGAGAGAGGGGGGTGTACGTTTCGTCGATTGTCTCGTGCTTGAAAGATGCAGCAGTCAGCATTTCACATCGTTTCAACAAAAACCAATAACAACAGTAAATCCGATAGCAACACGAAATACTGAAACAATAAACATGCTCAGATGGTATGCCGAGTAATATCCGTAAGTAGGTTCTCAAAACGCGTGTATCTTAGATAATGCTTTTAAATATGATGTAAAGATGATATTTTTTCTGAGGCTCGCTGGAGAGATTGGCATATCACTGCTGAAGACGATTTCAGCACGAGCCCGCCAGTACGAGTCAATGGTACCTTTGGCTGTTTTGTGACAATAACAGCTTTAGAGCGCTTCGTAGGAAACACAGATAAACGCACGTCAAGCAGTGAGGTGCAACAGCTTTTGGACGACATCTTTGCTACCTGTTCTGATGCATACTACGCACGAGATAGAATACCTCAAGGCAAAGCTACGTCTGTATTGTGTATAACAATAGTAACAGTAATAAAGGTTTATAACAGTACTCCCATTAGGTTAAACAGCGAAAGGTTTGTTACGCACAGAGCGTGCTGCGAACACGAGCACCCAGTTGTGGTTGCCGTTCTGTGCAAGCATACAGTATACGTACGACTGGGAAACAACAGGTGTTTGTCGTATAAACCCGTTACGCTTTAGAATTTATACTGAATATGTAAAACAATGGATATGAAGAAGTTTCAACGGGTTTATAGTGCCTTGTAATTTGGATGATATTTTTAACAGTTTTAGCCATGTATTCAAGCTCCCTTTATTGTTCAATATAAATTCAACCACGTACAAAGGTTTCGTGTTTTTGATAGAGCAACACTTGTTAAGTAAGTAACTAACTTGTGAAGCAGGCCTATATTTTCATTGACAAAAATTAAAGTTGGCAACAAATTTTAGCGTCAAAACTCAGCGCGTACGCTGTTACCGGATCTGTAGTTGTGTCAGTGGTTTCCTTTAGGGGTGACTCGAACGAGTGAGCTTAGCGAAGGCGTCTCGTTTTGCGTAGAAATGGATAGCCCTGTCTAAATATGGCTTCAAGTCAAACTCATCGGACCGCTGTTACGGTGGAGAAAGTCAGTGGCCATTTTCGCGCGTTTTGAGCGGTGATCGGCAGGATATCGACAAATAGCACAGCTCTAAATGGGTAGAGTTTTCGTAGCTTAGCGAACAATAGCGACGAGCTGAAAATGCGTCCTCGACGGGGTAAAGTCCACATGTCCGAATGGTAATATTTGACTATGTTAATGTTGGCAAGAACAAATACTCTTAATAAAAACGTCTCGTGTTGGTAATTCCAAGTTGAATATTGTTAGAACTACATTTATTAATGGTTGGTAATACACATTTAATGGTGAGCTTGAGCGTTTGGATTGTAGACAAGAAAATGATGTCATAATAAGAAGCGCCCAAACAAGGCAGTCCGTATTTGTAATTTCTCTTTTTTTTTTAAATATACATATATACTCTACTGAGGACGGGCCAAAAAATGTGGAAAACCCCGAAAGAAGGATGCTCGTTTACGAATCTCGTATAAACTGTATGCGTAATGCGCTCGACTCTAACGCGTTATCAGTGAAGTGTTTATGTTCTATTTCTCATAGAATACAACTCTTGATATCCCCATTAACAGGGGAACTTGCCCCCTCCTCTCCCCTAGGCTGTCAAATAGCAACGCCGCGCCCTTTAGTCGGCGGAGCTCGTTCAGTCGGATTGCTGCTCACTGCTAAGCCGGTACGACCTACGACCGACTCAGCGGGCTTCGCTTTTAACTGTATCCTGGCTATTAGCCAAAATGTCGAAAATACGTAACGAAGCTTAGTTGCAATTATGTACCTACGTTCTATATCAATTCCAAACAAAAGCTGATCGTGAGCTCTAACTGTATGGAAGGCTGTCATGATTGGACTAAAATAAATTTTCTATCGCGATTAACTTGTTTACGATGATTTTGAATCTACTTGAGGCCCCCCACGCTCTAATGCAACACATCTTGGAAAATAGCGTTAAAAATATTGTCAAAAAGATGGTACATGCAGAAAAGCGTAAACCTTTCTGTGTAGAAAAGTTTTTAACGAATACTACGATAGAAGCTATAATGACAAAGTGTGCCAAAATCAGCCTAAATTGTAATTCAAGCATTTTTTGCACATACAAAAGTAATTGACTATATTTTCTTTCATATAAAGGGTATCTTTTCTTCGCTTCTAGCCAAGCATATTGACGCAGTTTTTCATGGAAACCCTTTGTATAGAACATGGCTAAAAGTTGAACTATACTGTGATACTGTATAGTATACAAAATGGTTTCTATCTATCGAATCTGCAAATGGTGGATGAAAACACCCTGTTGCTTAGGGCGAATTGTCAAAATTTTTATTTAGGTATAAGCTTATATGTTTAATCTATAAAACATAGATAGTTGTGAATTGAAGACAACTTACATACATGCATATATGTAGAAGATAAAATTTTCGCTTTTAAAAGCTCTTTGTTAGAAGCGACCTCGACTCTTTTTGGTCGCTTACCTCGTTCCAACATGAGACTGAAAAGTGGTCATACGAAGAGGGGCCGATCAATGGCTCCGTAAGTTCGAAATCCGCTATTCAATTTGAGATGAAAATGATATTTTCTATGTATCATATAATGCTGCCATTACCGAGTGGCTACTTCGGCTCTGTATGAGAAATGGAACCCTTATATACAACAATAGCTGAGCAAGGGCACGATTATTTCACTATGATTATTCTTATTATAGAATAAGCATCAACCTAAATATCCATGACTGCAGTGAATATATGTTTGTATATCATCTAAATAGACCAGCTAACACGGCTGACCTACATAGTACGGACCGAACAACTTGAAATGTTCTCTTCCGTTCAACCTGGGAAAATACTTAACAATCAAAGACAATTTGTCAACATTCGGTGTAACAAAAAATCAAGTGGGGGAAAGTATAATAAAAACGGGGAGGGAGACACTTTGTATAGCCATGATACTTATATTAAGCGGCCTATCTAGCCCATGTGTCAAATAAAGATTAATAGCAATGTTAAACGAAGTCGGATCGGTAGATCTGTTCCAAAATCAACCTGACTGCCTTGCTAAATGCGTGTCAAGTTTGTCAACTTTACTTATTATAGCTATGAGCGTCCAAAGTGGCAAGTGTATGTTTTACGGTATATTGAACGCAATACCGAATAAGCTATATTGCTTTCTATTAAGTAGACTATGCTTACGCTAAGCGTCTTTGGTGGCTGTGTCTAATAAAATTAGAAGCCTCCAGAACGGAATATATCACTCTAAAGCGTTACACGAGTTTCCAACCAGCGAAGCACAAGCAATACAATGAACAAACCTCACCTTAATATTGCTCTCCTCTATAGAACTTATTTTGCAACCCTAAACCTTCCTCAGAAGCTCGTGTTTATTTCTAGTGCTAGAACACCTATTTTTGCTAATATATATCGGATGCAATTACGTTGTTTATCGAGGTCGTACCCCATCTTCCCCTCCACGTGGGATCCGGCTAGCGAACGACGCGCAAAGAACCTCTACTATTCATTTCAAAGGGAAAAAGCGATTTTGTTGCTTGTTATGTTTGTCCTGTCTGCCATACAGCCTCCCCATCATAGTCCCTTATTCCTTTGCTTCGGTCTTTCGTATCGAAGGGCCGGAGAATCGTATCTTCTGTCCACTCGTTACGCGCTTTTTATTTCAACAGAAACCGCTGGGAATTCCCCATAAATTTCGTGGTCATCCCCAGTGGCCAGGTGGCCAACTTTGGTTCCGCACATCTGCTCATCTTGGTGTGCTTTCTGTCCATTGTCCTTAAGCCAATCCAACTCATTGTTTGCGGCCAACGAAAATAGCGACGTCATCCACAATAATCATACTTCTTTTATTTGCTACTTCGTCAAAGAAAGCTTGTATAATTTCGGAACACGACTGGTAATCAGCCTTCGTGATTGCCTGATAGTGCGCCACCTTGAAAACTGCGAAGATACCTAACGAGGTTGCAGGCAGATTGATTCCTATCTAGGAGGTTTTCTTTTCGAATGGCAATCGCCGGACAAAACCCAACTGCAGTAAAATAGAGCTACGTTGTAAAAACCGGGTAATTTGAAGAAGATTATTTGCCTTAGTTAATGTATTGTTTTGTTCGTTCGGTAAAATGTAACATAAGCACTGCTAGTAATATATAAATAGCTTAGTTTGTGCTTGGCCAACCTTAATTTAACGAACGCATAGCTATTAAAATCAATAGGCACAACTTTATGTTAGCTGAATGGGCAAATGTGGCAGTGGTAAATAAGAAGCGGACAATTTGCCGTAACACTAATTAACGATTATATTATGATGTCATAGGACGTCAGCAATAAGAACATCAAATATATTTAGTGGAACAAGCTTTCGTACGGCATGTCCGCATCATTTGCTATGATCGCCTACTATTAGCATCAGTCCCACACAGGAGACTTGCATTTCATTCATCAAGTATCCGACGTCACTGAGGCACCGGTCTATGGCTATTAGGACCGAAAGGGCGGCACAGAAGACTTTGGTAGATGTCTGTACGCTTCACTAATAAAAACTCACAACAGTCATTTCCAGTTCAACACACACAACAGTCGAAAAACCTTGTCAATTCAATTGCTGACTTTAAAAGAGAAAACTAGTGGAAATCTATATGATGAGGCGTCATGATATGCCGCTAGCAATAAACCTTAAGTCGTCTTCAACATGGCGAATCCCCTGGTACAAGCGCGGTACTGCGTCGACGAATTCAGGTGCGGATCGAACATGTAATGATTACATATGAGGCCCACAAGGTCGTTCGTTGACTTTACAAACAAATAAAACGCATACAATGAAATGATAGTCATTTAATGGGCAATCACAAATGTTATGCGATTGCGGGAATTCTGTATAATCTTTTATTATGTTGTTCCATTTCAGTAACTCGGATTTGCCCAGCGTTTTGTCATCATATACGCGTTTTGCGAGACTCGTTACGTTTACTAAGAATCTATTGGTCATATGGCCAACTTTACAGCTTTCTGAACATACACAAATTTATGCGCATGCTATTTTAGTCATTGGCTATGTGATTATGGTCGAGGGCAGCCTAGCTTTATCCTTTAATATATAGTTTGTATGCATACGTACTAGGCCAACATAATAGAGGGCATGGTATTGAAATTTTATTGTTATTCCGCAGGCGTTCGTCGTTTTCATGTTGGTGGGTGCCGCGCTGGCTCGATCAAATGATGGATTCAGCAGCGTCTCACAGTCGGAAGATGTAAGTCTCCACTATGATATTGATTGTGTTCAATGAACTTGCGTCCTATTAACCATTTATCCTACACCCTAGTAACTATTTGCTTGAAATTATTCAACTTCTGCCTTTTCTAACTCTCGTGTATGTAACGGTAAAATGTGTGCCCACACAGTTTTCGTACGTAAACTTGCTAAGAATGGATGTAAATTTATGTCGACTTTGGACGCAGTTTTGTACAAGTCGCAGTAAACTTTGCTTTTGTTTTACTCATTTGTGAAATTCGACAGGGTCAAGGGGGATATCGGTATGAGTACGACATCACAGATTGGGACACCAATCGGAAACGCTGGGAGCAAACTGATGCCGATAATAATCGCCGCGGAGGATATCAAATTGTTGATGTCGATGGCCAAGTGCGTCAGGTCACTTATCAGGCCGATAAGGACGGTTTTAGAGCTACAGTCCGCACAAATGAACCAGGAACTAAGCCCGGAGAAGTAGGGGGAGCCGTGTTCACAAACGATGTTGCAGATATCGTCGAGAGCACTCGGGGCATTCTACAGAATACCGGACATGTTCAGAAACAAAAGGTGCGTTGTTACATAGGGGATTCTTTCGTAGATAAAAAACAAAAAAATATTTCACCACGCAGAGTAACATATATATATAACTAAAGAACGTCACACAAGTTATGTGGTACACGTCATAGGCGGCACTTCAAACAACAATTCCTGATCTCCTTCAACCGACGCTTAGTCATCTACGGCACTGTGTTATCGACTATTACCAAAATATAAGCAAGGTAGCTCTGGCTCATAACTTTGAAAAATGTGTATTGCATTACAGAAATTGGGTACTTATCCCGACAATATTCCAGCAGCGCCTATTCGTCCTGTCGCTCCGGGAGCCCAAGTAATCAAGCATCACGCTGCCGAGGGTCCGCACTTCGACGCTGTTGGACCTGTTGGCCCATCCGGCCCCTCGTTTACTGTCCATGGAGGACCAGGACCTGTTGGACCCTCATTCAACGCAGCTGGCCCAAGGGGGCCTAAAGGTCCGTCGTTCACAGCTGACGGACCCTCTGGCCCGGTCGGACCGTCATATACTGCCCACGGCCCAAGCGGGCCTAAAGGTCCGTCGTTCGCGGCTGGCGGGCCTTCTGGTTCGGTTGGACCGTCATTCACTGCTCATGGTCCAAGTGGGCCTGAAAGTCCGTCGTTCACCGCTGGCGGACTTCCTAGTCCGGTCGGACCGTCATACACTGCCCATGGCCCAAGAGGGTCTAAAAGTCCGTCGTTCACGGCTAGCGGACCTTCTGGTCCGGGCGGACCGTCATTCACTGCCCATGGCCCAAGCGGGCCTAAAGGTCCGTCGTTTACAGCGCATGGACCTTCGGGTCCTGCTGGACCGTCGTCCACTCCTCACGGCGGATCCGGACCTGTAGGACCCACGTTCACTGCTACGCAGGGGGATGGACCTGTAGGACCCAGTTTCACTGCTCATGGGGGAAAAGGCCCCGTTGGTCCGTCGTTCACTGCCACACAGGGTGATGGTCCCGTAGGACCTACGTTCATATCTCATGGAGGCAGAGGACCCGTCGGCCCGACGTTTACCGCTACAGAGGGCGATGGTCCTGTTGGCCCTACATTTGTGTCTCACGGAGGAAAAGGTCCAGTTGGTCCAACATTCACTGCGACGGAGGGTGATGGGCCTGTCGGACCTACATTCACCCATTACGGGGGTCGTGGCCCAGTTGGGCCCAGCTTCACCGCGCATGGGCCCAGCAAACCTGAAAGTCCTTCGTTTGCTTCGCACGGTCCCAGTGGCCCATCGTTCACTTCCCATGGACCAACTGGCCCCTCGAAACCAAGTTTTTCATCGCACGGTCCTAGTGCTCCTAGTGGTCCTTCGTTTACTTCCTATCAACCAAGTGGCCCCTCGGGACCGAGTTTTTCATCGCATGCACCTAGTGCTTCTAGTGGTCCCTCGTTTACTTCGCATCAACCAAGTGGCCCCTCGAGACCAAGTTTTTCATCGTACGGTCCTGGTGCTCCCAGCGGCCCTTCGTTCACTTCCCATAGACCAGCTGGCCCCTCGGGACCAAGTTTTTCATCACATGGTCCTAGTGCTCCTAGTGGTCCTTCATTTACCGCTCATGGATCGACTGGCCCTTCGGGACCAAGTGTTTCTACACACGCTGCCGCTGGACCTGCCCATGGATCTGGCAGACCATCTGGCCCTAGCTTCACCGCTCACAGACCAAGCAGCCCTATTGGTCCTAGCGGTCCTTCATTCACTAAAGTAAGCAGCTCGAAACGTGGCAGCGATGTTCCTTCATACACCGGACCCATTCGCCGACCTCAGAAGCCTATCCATGATCCTTCGCAACAGTTCGAAGTGCCCGATGCTCCTCTTACCCCCTCAAGGGTTCCTGCCTACACTCCCGATCAAGTATGTCGTCTAAGATGCGCGCACTACGATATAATGTTGAAAAAAAAAAAGATTCTTTAAATATTCCAATATGTATGGAGTAACTGGTATTTCGTCCCAAAAAAAAAATTACTGAACAGCACGATAAACAATCAGTAAAATCCTACACGTAGGACAACAAGTATACGAAACTCGTTTATTACTGTTACCTTATTGTGAAATGGCACAAAATCCATTTTAACAGCTCACAAGGTAAAAAAAAAAACTTGGTGGTCAAAGCTTTCTTCGATAACCATAACAAACTTTTTTCCTTAACGCCTTGCAGTTATTAAACGTATACTTGATTTCAGCAGGACAATGAATGGAACGGCCCTACTGTACCGCCTCCCGCCTCTCGTCAGCGTGTAGCGTATCAACCGACAGCAAAGGCTGCAGCGGCTTCGAGTTTTCAACCGATTATTGTAAAGTTCAACGGACAACCAACGGGCCACAGCGATAGGAGTTTTACCTGGGCGGAAGGCACCAATCGCAAGTCGGCGTCTTAATGAACACTCAGGCCAAAATAGCGTTCCTCGCGACCAATTTACAGATATCTCCTTCGTTTGTTCTGTGGAATCACAATTTACCTTTAATCGTTTACCCTGCGAGAATGGTGCATAATACTCAATGTAATAAGTAGTTTTTGGGTTGAAGGTTGTTGAAGTGTTTTTGTCCTTCGACGTTATTCCAAGAAGGCAATATGCGCATGTATGACGTATTATTTTGCTCCTGGCTTCTGTTCCGAATGAGTCAGCTGAAACAGAGAAGATGTGTACGAGGTTATAAAATTGGCTTAAATTGTTCTGGATTTCGGAGCGTATCTGACATAAATAAAATGGTGGCCGATGAACGCTGGAGGTCAGAAGTGACCTTTTAAAGAATTCGTTTCGAGCAACTCCCGGAACGAGTTCAGAGAAATGTAGTGTTTCGCGTCTACCTGCACATAGGTGGAACGCCTATGCGTTATGCGAAGATTCTCAACCAAATACTATTAGGAAAATAAGTATTTGGAGGAACGGCAGGGCATTGTATGTAACTGAGCGATTACATGTGCGACTTTTTCCGGCATGCCACCCATCTCCGCAACATCAGTGTGGGCAGATAGACAGATTAATTGTCGATCATGCTAAACGTCACAGAGACACAGATGTTAAGATTGAGCTGAAATACAATAGAGTGCGGATGAAACATTGAAATCTTTATTTTTTACTGATCGCTTGCACTGGTACTACAATTGATACGATGCGCATGTATTTTTTGGCGATTAACCAAACGTTATTTATTTTACACAAGGATACAACTGCTATTTCTATGTTTATAAAAGAAGAACAGAAAAACGTTCATACACATAGCTAACTATACGAAAACAAAGAACAGAAACGCCGAGGAGCAGTTGTTATTGATTTTGTTTAAGTGAGTGGCTGAGCTGCAATGACCGACTTGATGGTGTTCCAGAAGGTGCCCAAGGGCGTTCTATTTATTTATTGATAACAGTCTTATGAGTACGATGACCATAAAGAAAACAGTAATTGCATTGATGGTAGATTAGAGCTGGGCAGATTATGGGCTGAGATAGAAGAAGTGAGGAAAGACTGCGTACGCTGAAAGTAAAATTTATTGCGGAGAATAAATAGTTAAAACAATAGTAGTTACAACAATAAATAGTTAAACAAATAAGTCGACATTGGATAGTAAAGTGAGTTTTGACTTTTCTTTGTTATTAGAAAATGGTCAAATTAAGTTTTTAGCAAAAAATATGCCTGCACTTATTTTTCAGTTACCGTAAAAATGTGACAGCCATGGAAATGGTATCAGTAGGAGTGTTTGCATTAAACAAACGCTTTTACTGATACCCGCTCATCCCTTTGAGATTTGACGCTGAATGTATAGGCTAAATCAATTCACACTATCCTATTTTCTTAGTTGGTCAAGCTTCCTAATTTTAGTAAATCCATGCACGCCCGTATGTACCAGCCGGCTTTTGTAGTTATCAGCGAGTTCTTTGGAGATGTTCTCTGAATTGATGGGTGATTTTTATAATCTTAAATCAATCGAAAAGATGCATACTTTTCTTATAATTCCTTCGACGTTGTTCATGTAATGACCAGTATCTTTCATTTATCTAGATAAACGCCGCCACTACCTTTCCCATACGGATTGCACAGAAGTTGTAACTACTAGCTTGCTATCCGCACCGTATCGCCTATAAAAATTGACAGAGTAATGTATAATATTTTTGCTAAATTAATCTTTGTGATGCATTTGGACTACAGTAACGCTGCCGCTTCCACTGCTTTGAAGAACAGAACAAGGTACGTTACAACGAACTCTGGGTTCTTTCCGAAAAACTTATTCAATCGTTACGCGATGCTCTAAATATATTTGCAGCGTTCGATCCTTTATCTCGCTTCCTTATAGCCTCTTTTGGTGACCATTCGAATCATTTATACGGATGCCTATGTAGAATTGAAGCAAACCTCTAATCATAATAATAATCCTAAGACTAACGTATAAACAAATCCACGAGGCAAGTTACATATGTACAAGAATGAAAACGAACGGCTTCCAACGAATCACCCTCAATGCGCCTTAAAACTAAGATCAGTCTATGTATTGTCACCCGATTCCCGTATAAACGTATAAAGAGACAATAAAGATTAGGCAAACATACTTTCAATATCATGTATTGTATATAAATGGCTCATTACAAAATCTAAATAGACACAGACAGAACAGCTGCCTTCCCCGACGCACTACTCATGGCCTTTCTTTTATGGAAATTCAAACAATCCATCAACAAATGTTTGCCGACGTTTTGCTGAGTCAAAGCGTAAGCAGTATTTACCTTGTCTTAACAGAATGAACTCAATATTTATATGTATATAAAGTTGAGCACGATAATAAAATAAATACACATAATACTAGTTAAAGCAGCTGTTTATAATTGCTATCCTCTATTATCTGTATGCTATATCTGCTGGCTCTCCTCAAATGACATATTTGTCCTTTAGTTCTAGCCATTCCGTTGAAAACGAAATATTTTTCTCCTTATCGGGGGTCCTCCCTTTTGTTTCTTGGTCATAAATACCCTTGTCATCCTGGCGAACCTGTAGAGCGTCCTTGTCTATCAGTGCATCTTCCGTTGAGCGATCTTTGGTATCTTTCGAAGCCGGCATAACCTAGATGCCGAAAATGGGAGTTTAAAGATAATGAAAGTTTACTTTATGCTTTGAAAACAGCAAGGCTAGTCAAGATAACACGTGTATGCAAGTGAATTGTATCTCTATAATTAATCATATCTAACCAACGACAGTACAAATCAGTGATGATATGATATTCCATCACTAAAGTGAGACAACAGGATATAATTGGATAGATTATAACACGTCCTATTGAAAGGCAATACTTACAGAACTTTGCTTCTCTTTTTCTGGCCATTCTTCTGCATTGAGTCGACGGCGTCTTATACGGGATATTTTTCTAATTTTCCCTATCGACAGCAAATTTCCACGCGATGTTGTTAGGGGATCTTCATCGGAGCGTGGGCGCTCTCCTGTATCCTCGAACACAGGTTCCTCATAGGTAAGTTCGTTGAGGTAGTAGTGATCGATCGCTTCTTCACACTGAACGTTATAGGCCCAGTCGCAGACGCGGAACCTGTAAAAATAAAAAATTTATAATTATTATAATAATAATAATAATAATAATAATGTATACTATCAAAATTAAACATACATCAGGTTTATTAATGGCGGACATTAACACTCCACACGATGTTAGAAGTTTATCACTCTGAAACATCGAGCAAATTGCAATTTCTTCGAAGTATAGATAGCAAGGTTCACCCTTGGTGGACGCATAATTTTTTGCTAGCTTCATTTCGCCTGTTCACTAAAAAACAAATCGCCGTAGTAAACAAACAAATAAATGTTTCTACTAGGAGTCAATCTAGTAGCAAGCTATCTAAAACAATAAATCCCTCGTGGTTCGAATGATAGACGTACTTCTGGTTAAACAGGGTCAAAGGTGGACATATATGGGGTATTCTCCGGCCGAACGCGTCGCACATATGAAATATTTGGCATCCAAAGGCGGGATCTGCATAATATCCTGCAAGATTAGATTGCACTGGATGTGACTTGTAACGCGTTACTGGGCCTGAAAAAATGCACCATTTTCTGAGAGGTTTTGATATCTTACATTATGTAGAAATGTATTCTCTTGTCTACATGATCTGGCTAGGAAGCTTTCTTGCAGATGACATAACAATGCACTTGTTCTGTGTACTTACTCTAGAATTAGGATTTCTGATAATTATTTTTTCAAGCACAATATAACGGGTACACTTCACTACGCATAATGAAATTTATGATAAACCCGTGTGGACCCATCCGCCTGATCAGGACGTCGTGAGTATACAGGCATAGAATCTATATCGTATAGTTCCGTTCTACAAAACAGGACCCATCCGCCTGATCAGGACGTCGTGAGTATACAGGCATAGAATCTATATCGTATAGTTCCGTTCTACAAAACAGGATCCAGCTGCAAACCGGATAAAAGGATAATCCCCAAGTTGAAAAAGCTACGGGCTGCTTCACGTCGAGCCCCACCGTGCTGCGCGATGGTTGTGAATCGGAGGGAGCTTCATAATGCACGATCCAGTCGAAGACAAACGTGGGGGTTGCCTCTAACTTAACCGGTGAAGACACGAGTATTCATCGAACGTCAACGATTTATATCATGCGACCAACAACAAATCAGTGATTGTTCAAAACTGCTCAAGGACGGTCACACGGCTACGTAAAGTGTTTTTCTTGCTGAAGCGGGCGCGAATGGAAACCTTCGGTCCACTTTTCTAGCTCAACTGCTTTTAACACTGAGCTCCTATGTGCACACATGCGAAATGAGTTTCCAGCTCATGTTGTAGTAGTAGACACAGTGACCTTAGGGACTAACGTACAATCACATGTGGATTATTTATTATTGAATTGTTTATTCTATTTATGTATATATTATGGAATTAGTTATAGTTGAAAGATGCATAACAGAATTAACTGTTTACTACACTCTTTTATGACGGTAACGGCACTATTTACTTGCCACTTCTCATACGTAGTTCGTGCATGCTGAGACGCCCGGGCAGATAGTCTAATAACTCTGACTATACTAGGTAAGCATTATGTTACTTGGTAGTCTAATTTATATTCGTTTCGTAACTAACTGGCAAAAAAGTAGGTGATAACTTCTCAGTCTGTAGGTTGAGCAACGCACATGCAGTGGGTAAGGTTACAAATTTACCGATGGCTTTATCAACGCAGCTAAACGAATAGTGGAGGTATGGAAATCTTGTGATATCCTGGGGATCTTGAGCATCGACCACGGAGGCAGCTTTGGTGACTGAAAATTTCAAATAAGTATACACTATTGACCTTCTGCCATGTTTAGAGAGGGGTTACGATTAGCGAGACATAAACATAGTAACACGCGATAAATAACATACATACTTGGCTGAAGTATTTGAATTCAACGAGCTTGCTTGCGGCTTTATAGTTTACTTAAATTTGCTCAGCTACAAGTGTGGTTAGTAAACTAGGGCGTGCAAACATGCTGGCAAAGCGTCAGCCAAAATTTATATAATCAATCGTATAAGAAAAGCTGACGATATTATTTTGAAACGGTTGTATAAGTGCAAAGTTATTAAATCATCAGCTTGATAATAATACGGTCTTTCACTAGATGAAAATTAACATCATAACTATATTATGTATAACGTTTCGGGCAAAAGTATGTGCCAAAGCTATCTCTTTGTGGTGCATATGTCGCAATTAAGGAGCTTGATCCTGCTGTTCTAGCCAATCTGTCATAAAATGAATAATTATCTCTTAGACCGGGGGGGGGGGGGGAAGTTATCCGCATTTCAAGTTCAGCCCAGTCGAGTGTAAAAACACGTTTATATAATCAGCGGAGCTGATTACTGTAATTAGATGTTTCCATTGTTACGTTTGATACTGGCGCTGACATTGCCTTAGATGGCTGGCTGTCAACAAAGCGTCTCGACACGCCTGGTTTCGAGTTTGGACCACCATACGCTCCAGAGTTCAACAGTCAAACACGTTACCACTGCACCAGCACCGGGGCATAGTTGATTATTTGAACACGCGTGCTCTGATCCTTTACTGCCGACAGCTTAAGCATCCAAGCCACCGCTACAAAGGCAACATAGAAGGTAATCTAAAGCTATCTAGGTATTAATCCCTAAATGGGATTTAGAGCTGTAGGCATTTAGCAAGCCAGTTAGAAGTACAATGTCACATTAGATCCTACATTTTTTCGATGTGTAGTGGTTATACCTAAAACGAATTGATTGACTGATGCATACAAGGATTACTTTGTGCATTTTGTGCTGTTCAATTCTGCATGCAACCATTTTCACTTACATACGCAAGTTTATACTTAGACATTGTGTCTAGAGGAAAGTTACGGGTTTCTGAAAGTAACATACGCTGAACTATTTCGAATCACTCAATGGATTCTGATAGTACTTTATACGAACGTAAGTGAGTTTCGAAAAATGCATGTAATTTTTAGTCGGCTTGGAAAACGAACTCGTTTAATTGTCCGTCTTAGCAAGAAAAAAATTAAGGTTCTACTTACCCATTCCGGTCAGAATTAGGATGGAGTGATACATCATGGAGACTTTTTAATCCCAAGGCATTTCACAGAAGGGCACTGAATAGCCCGATTTGTCAGCTGTTCACACCACCGTGTCGGTGGAATTGTTGTTCATATTTGGAGCTAAATTCGAGCTTAGGTTCGCGTGCTTTTATAATATAAACAATTAGAAAATATTGTACATAAGCGATAGTTACGGTAGCGGTACTGCGGCACTGAATCTGGCTGAATCGCTGTTCAGCCTGTTGATTTTTCGTACACTAATGGGCTGCTCCAAAAAATTGGGCCGTACGAGAATGCCACCTATCGTACATAGCGATTAAGATAGATTGCCGACCTAGGTGACAAAACGCTGAAGTGTATAAGCGGCCCAAAAATATTATCCAGCTACGGTTGAAATACTCTGATAAACCAAAGATAATCGCTCCTAACGAAGTCAAATATTAAAAAGGCCTAATTAATCTAAAAGCTATAGACCCCGCCGCTCTCTTTTTCACGAGGAATAGAATCACTTTCAGTCGATTACAAAGCCTTTATAACTGACAGACCCTTGGTTGTATGCTGTCAGCGCGCACCATCACCCACCCAAACCCCGAAAACTGACCAAACGGCAGTTTTCCCTCCTTTTCTTCTCTTCATTCTTTCCCAAGTCGGGACAGCCAGATTCCCGTCAATGGATTCGGCCTTTGTTCTTTTAGCTCAGTTTGCTTCTTGACTTGACGTTTCCATCTCTTCGTTCTGCAGTAAGGGCGGCCAAATTGGCGCTCACGACCAAAGCACTATCAGCAATAACGCTACGCGAAGTGTTTCCAGTCTGTGGACCAATGACCAATGAAAAATTGGAGAGAACAGCCAAAAATAATAGATAGTTAATTCACTCCAAACTGCTGATATAGGAATAGCAAAAGGGCAATCTATTTCGATAGTTACCCAAATCCTATTTTCAAATAGTAAACCTATTCGAAAGTAAGATCTAATCTGTACTGACGGCTAGATTGATGTGAATTTACTATTACGGTACAAAGTTCGGCAAATAAAAACACACGTGTCCCATTCGTTGCATAAACTGACGAGCAGGTTTCTTTCTCTGTAACTTGTACAAGTTTCCACTAATAAATATTTGATGGGTTAACCAAACCATTTCCATAGCGATATTTCCTGGTCTTGATTTGAAGCGATACTGAAATCAGTTTCCCAACCGAGGCTAATGTACATACGGTTTAGGGTTTAATGAGTGAGGTTCCCTTAGTACTAGGCAATTGCCTCGGCAATAACGTCTGGTCTGCATAATGCATCAGGCCTTTTACCTACCTGAAAAAAGGGCAATATTTTGAATACTAAAACATTAATCATACTTCACATTGGATCCAGGCGTGCATCCAGTCCTGTCCTAGGCATTCGTTCTTTGACAATGAGTACATTCTGCTCGTCACCGAAAAATGTTATCAGCAAATAAATACCAATAATAAAACTAAGCATGTTTATTATCATTGCTACGTGATGTTCGTTTAAGCTAGAGAAGAAATCGGTAGTAAGTGCAAAAATTCGGAAGGCATAAACGTGCCCGACTTGACAAACTGATCCGAGTCACTGGTTAGTCCGTTGAAAATTGATTTTGTTAATATTTTTGTAGATGAAGGAACCGACCTCGCAGTTCAGCTACGATCCAATTGCTAGATACAATCGGACCGTGCTAGCAAACACCGGTTTCAGGCTTAGTAGTTATAGTTGATAGACAATATAACAGTGAAGAAGAAATGGCACCAGCATTTGGTGTTAATACTAGGGATGGTGATCGATAGGTCAGACGAGTTGTCTGCAGAGCATAAACTAGGTTTATATTATAAAGTTGTCTTGCTAAAGTATAACATAAATTGACGGTGTAGTCGCCCACGCAGTATCCCATCTGTTTTACCATTGGCACCGGTCCTATACGTTGTACGGCAACAGGCATCCTGTCCGATATGGGACGAGTTGAAAAAGGACGGAAGGAAAAGACAAACATACACAGACAGAACAACATATAGCACTGACACTGTCGGAAAGCATTAATACGTTTTATCGAAAGAGAAATTTTCGAAATAGCACCGAAACAAAGTGGCCTACTTTTTGCTATTGAAAGCCAGAGCTAATGACTATATAATACATGTTCAGAGAATCTATAACGTATCCCTGAAATAGCTCTATCAAGCTCGACAAAGGCACATCTATCAAACGAGTAATAGTAGATGAAACAGTTCTGTAATAATCTGAATCTGACGCAAGCTTCAATGCATTATCACTCAGTCGCGGGACCTTCGCCCAACTCACAACGTTGCCAGTTAACTTTTCAAAAGACAGCTGACAAGTAGGCAATTCAAATATAATAGTTATTTGTACCAGTGGTACGTAGCAAGCAACGTAGTATGATTGACACTTGACGATAAAACGATTGACGAAATCGCGCGCAACATACAGACCGCTAAATCAACTTCGAACTTTACGTTTGGCGTTGGAAAAAAGTTGACAATTAGCGTTTGCGTAGAGCTTCTCCTAGCTCTCCCGAACTGACGACGATTTCAATTTGTTTCCCGCCAAACCAGTGTCGCAATATGTCTCCTCATGGTGTTTTTAACCCGTTACCATGGCTTCTCGCAGTTGCTCGATATTAATAAAATTGTCTATGTGTACTAAGAAGCGATACTTCTTAGTATCGCTTCTATTTGTCGTAAACAAGAGAACAATTGTAGATGACATAAGCAGCGGATGTTGTCTCATTCATCTTTGCTCAGACGGGCGCATAAATGAAACATTACTAAAGAAAGGCAATATTTCAAGACCCGAAAGCCAACAAACTAAATTCCAACGCAGCTAACCTGCAGGCAGTGTTCCTCTATTTAGGAGGTGGTCCTTTCTAGCTAGAGATTTTGGATGTACAATTCTCGTGACAGAAGAAAAGATGATTTCATTTTAGCTTTAATAAGCGTAACACATTTATAATTTGAAGCGATTTGGTGCATCACGCTGAATCATTTACTATCGCATGTTAGACACTTGATGGCAATACGGCGGTATACACGAACGCTTAGGATGCTTTGTAACTTTAGCGGAGACCTGTATAAAATATTTTTCAAACGATAGAAACCAGCCCAATCAACAGCTGGTATCGGCCATCGCAAACATGCTCCTAGAATCAACCATTCAAGTTAAATGTTGACTTCTTTTTTCTTTATTTTAATTGAAGCAGTCGGGAAGTTCAAGGGTACGAACATACCGTAAAACAGACCTGCCCTCACGTCGCGCTAAATTTATACATTGAAACTCGTTTCCGAGTTGATTGTTCGCACAAGCGATCAAACGCAGGCATATGTCAGCTGATAGACTAGGGTTTCGGGAGACCAAAAGAATGCATTCAGTATTTAGAAGAGCCCTTTTTGGCTTGCTTCGTAAACTGGGGAAAGCCACCAGCGGCCCTGGTCGATTCTGAATTTCGACTGGATGTACTGCCCGGCGACGCTGATCCGTCTACACTATGGTGATGACGATTTGTATTGACTTTAAAATAAAAACGTCGATAACTTGTTGAAATGACCAAACCACTGAATCGTTCATTAGTGGAATGACCGATGGCGCGCCCAGCTGTCTACGATTCTATTCTCAGCTTGGACGGACGATCCTTCTACGTTTGCAGCGATGTCCGTGATCGTGATCGTGATCGTGATCGCAAGGCTCAGTCAATACACGAAAAGCACGAGCGTAGAATCACTCCAAAAAGGGGCATTAGCACTCAAACTAAGCTAACTTTAACCAGCAAAACGGTTATTATAGCAGTGCTTAATGCTTAAATATAGGTTAGGCTCATATAATGGGCATTTTATTCATAGTAGATATCAAAAAAACGGCGTTAAATTGCTGAAAAGCGAAATCAAGCTATCATTTACTGCGTGGGAGAAGTGGCGCTAACGCGCACCAAAATACAGCGCAAGCTGGAAAGCCCTTCTGGTCAAGTCTTTTCAAGCTTTTTTTTACGTCATTGAATCGATGTACCTGGCCGTCATTTATCACAGAGACGCCATCGGTACATGGCAGTAACAATTGTGTGATTTTGTCTTGTAAAATTAACTAGCATATAATCGATGTGTATATTGAGTTCCAGCTCGAGCAGCTGTCCGTAGCGGGCCATTACAACAAATATATTTCACAGGCCACGCAACCAAAAACATATGTGCTAAGCTTCTGTACAAAGATTATCTATACCGATTTGTCTATTTTTTATATTAGACGTCAAGTGTTTAGAGTTTAACGCTACATCCATATCGAAGAAACAAGCTGCGTGGAAGAACTGCGTATAGCTCCTAATGGAACTTGGTCAGCTGCCGTACCTTCACACAGCTTTTCCACTATACTTCAGAACTTCAGACCGAGGCCCCGTGCCCTGAACAGCTAACACAATAACTGTTCAGCATTGACTGATTATTAATTACATACATTAATTAATAATTACAATAGTACAAGGGCGTCTTTCTCCAAAAACAATTCACTTTCGATACTCGTTGTGGCTACACCGAACAGAATTATTTAAAAAAGCCAAATACGCCCAGCATGTCCTGACAGATTCGATAGGAAATAAACGTTGGCTTAATATGAACTAATTGAAGGAAAAGGTCGTTGTTGTAAATGCCTGAATGCTACATCAAACATTGAGCCCTACTTGAAACAACACCAAGTGAGCTTATATATATATCTAGTAAAGGAAATCGATATTTGACCAGCTAGCTTATATATAATTAATATAGATTTCGGATAGTTAAGACTGCGGGTTGACAACAGTCACGCTCAAAAAATTAGGCCGATCCGCGGTTGTTTATTACGCAAAAGTCTCTCGAGAGTTCTTCAATTCTCACTCGTTCTCTGCCCTCAACTTCTTTACGAAAAGGACTTTCAAAGGTTTGTTGAAACTAAGAAACCTGGATAATGTTCTTGTTGTATGAGGTTATGTGAATCCTAGTTATCTATCTCATATTTTAAAGTGTTCCTTTTTTTTGCAGCGGCTGATTATACCTTGCGTAACGTCGAAATATAACAAAATCATGCGACGATTGTTGTCTTATATCGCAAATTTCAATTTCCTGTATATATCAATCTCCTAACATAGGGTCGTTGTTTTTCTAAACATCGATCTATAAGGTACTGTTAGCAGGCAAAAACGTATGGGTGTCGCTAACGTATGAACTGGCTAGAAAAACGAAGTCTAATATCATGTATGCGTTCCTCATTATACCCGGAATTATGGCCCATTATATAGCCTCGGTCAGCAGCATCAAGTCATCTTCTGGCTTCCGTAAGTGCGCCTGGAACAGCCCTGCAGATCCATATCTCGAGTCCCTGGAGATGTACAATGATCTCATGGAGTCTTTGTTTGGCGAACCGCGCGTTCACTGTGACAGACCGCCACCAGGTTGCCAAGGCCTCAAGGAGATTGTAGCTGGCGAGCGATCCGCAGTTCTTGCAATATTTTATGAGCATTCTCTCAGTCTGTGCAATTTAATACGCCTACAAAAATGGACGAAAGGAAATTTAAAAAATGCGACCGAACTACTTCAGTTGAGAAATAGCCTATTACAGGATGTCATTCGCCTGGCAGACAGTACGGAAAAACTGACGGTAACCCAACAGGTTGTATATGATCTAGTGGAAGAAGATTTGAAACAAGTTTTGAAATACGAACAAACCCTAAAGGAACAACAGGATACGTTGCGCCATGTTACAATGGACGTCCTTGAATTGCAGGTATTAAAAATGGTAGACATGCACTCAAATGAGGTAAGTTCTATAGTATTCTTTAGGCGTAAGCGAACTGTTTTGATCTGAGGTGCTGGCTTCTGGAACACCCTTCGGAGATGAAGCCTTCTGCGTTTAATCAGTAGTCCTGTTGGCCGCCGAAAAATACACGAGTGGTGGGTTACGCTCGGTTCGATCGATGTCGATGAAGGATACATCTCCGTTGTGAATGCGTTTATAGCTAACGGCTCTTTTATTTACCCCTTCCAGGACATAGCCGTTCACATGACAACAATAGCGTCTTGGCTATCGTATGTTTCGATTGCTTTGATTTTGCGATACGCTGGGGGTATCCGTATAACTGCTGTCTTATTGCTTTTCGGACTATTCTGGACGGCTGAGGTCATGGTTAAACATAATCTCGTCCTGTTCCCTGTAGACGATGTCATCCCAAAAAACGTCCAGGTTCAGTATTTGCTTAACTGTTGACTATTCACTTCGTTAGTAGTACTAACTGCAGCCGTAAGCATAGTGTATGTACAAGTGATGAGTTAACCGCTAAAGCTGGCCAATGCTAATTAACAATACCCTAAAGGTAACTAGGGCGCGGATCATCGACACCAGACATGATTTCCAATGATTCCGAGAAAACTTCGACAACATCAAACATTGCGTTATACTCAATAGTTTTGAACGTGCAAGAGTTCAGTGAAAGTATATGAACCTAAAAATAAAGTAAGATGTTAAAATAAAAACCCAGAGCATCCACAATGCGTCTACGACTCAATTCGAAAGGGAAACTCAGCGAAAGAAGAAGGTATATAGACAGCTCCGCAAGGTATAGGCGGAGCTGTCTATATATCTTCTATCCTAAGAGCATAAATAGCTTTTTACTCATATTCTAGAAAACACTTGAGCGGATTTAATTAAATAAAAGCAAAACAGAATAAGAAAGAGCTACCAACATGAACAGCCTCTATCGACTTGTAGATTTTACCCCCCGATCCCGATACACTCTGACAGATGTAAGGTTGGAGCAACGAATGCTATTATACCTGCTTCGCTGTTTGTCAGTTGCATTGGGTCATCGTGATAGAACTCCATGAACGTTACCCTCATTAGTAGTATGCAGTATGGTTGTGTATATATATATATATATTAGGAAAAGTCTTTGTGTAAAGGTTGTTTCATTGTTAAATGATTTAACTCAGCTAATAAGTTAATAGTTTATTGAGGGTAATTAAAGTATGTACGCGATGGAGAAAGCAATGCGCACAGAAGTTATTCCGGTCAGATTGAAATTACCCGATGATTATACGGCTAAGCTAAACAGTGCGGCGACAGTAAATATCTAAGCTTGTGAGAGCTTACAATTCGATAGGCTAAGACTAGGTCGGTAGCACAGAACTACAGAAGCTCTAAAACTTTAGCATAAGAAAAAAAAGGGGCATAAACGGGCTTCTAATGACGTCTTTAGAACTTCTGTTCTATCCAAGGAAGGCAACACAAACAAAGAAAAATCAATGAAGAGGTTAAGTAGACGATGGCTGAATTAGATTTGTAGGGATAAAAATTTTGTGCGTAACAGCACAGTATGCCGTTTTTCTTGATATGCCTTCATTATGCTATATTTGAATGATGATCCATACGTATATTTTTGATTGTTGTCATTTAGATCGAGGTCATTCGACTCATAGCCTGTATATGTGGGGTCGCGTTGCTCTGGTTCTCAAGCTACCACCAACCAGCCGATCTCTTACAAACCACAATGCAAAAGTGTCTCGTCCAGATCGAGTCGGCTCGGCAGGCTGCTCGACATCTCTAATCTACTTTAGTCATGCACAAGAACTAGTGTTGCCTACCGGGAAATTCTAGTTGTTGAATGAAGATCACTGTAGAACTATGGTAAAATAACTGAATTTTTTTAGCTAGAAAATAATCAGCGGTAAAGGATGTGTCGAACATTAAATGTGTGCATACGGGCCCACCCTTTGCTATAGATTAGTTTTTTTTTTTTGTAAACCTTTATGGAACTTACACACCCACCGGCAATTTTATTATATTTCGTTTTTCTAGCGTGAAAAAGCAATACATGCTACTAGCTACCAAGAGACAACAATCTGAGGGAAAAACATTCCATACGTTATTGCAACTGTTAATGAAACAATCAGTCGATATCGTCGAACCTTACCTTCAAGCAAACATTGCGTACGAAAAAGTACGGGCTCTATATGTCCTTAATCTCAAATATTTTCCAATGGAATTTAAATGTTTTCAACGGCGGCGTTCTTTTAATAAGATAGCTATATTTTAATTAATTGTAGTTCAATGGGCCATTTTTTTAAAAAGATTCTTTCAATTTTTAACGACATTGAGTTGGTCATTAGGAATTTTTTGCGCATATAGCAGAAATCACAATAAGTATAGCCTTTGGCATGTGAATATTGGCAAAAAAAATGAACGATTAAAAAATCTACATTGCTTAAAGTAAATAAAAAATAAATAGTAAAAAAGATCGTCAAACATGCAGCAGTGCTATGAATTTTAGTGAGCATAGAAAACTAATCGCAAAGATTTGTAAATGGACATCAATCCACGTATAGCAATCACGTTAAAGTTCCAGCGATAGTTCGAAAAAGGTTTCCGTTAATACATTTGTTTAGAATGAATTTTCACAGGTAACCCTCCAACCTACTGGACTATTATTGACTTAAATTTTTTTTTATTTTATTAACAAGTTATTGTTGTCATTAACGTGATCCAATGGTAACACAAAATCAAAATCGGATTGGTCATTGCTTAAATCAGTCGCGGGTCGTTGTAGCTGCACATGTCAATATGGAGAATCGGTGACTTGGTACCGTACTTTAGTTAAAGTAGGAACACACTAAAAATAATTTTTGACAGTTTAGTATTATAATCCCTCAGCATAATTGCAGCTTCAGTTCAGGATTTGAAGCGTTGCCTGGCTCATTTTAAATCCTATTGCAAATGTGCGAACGGCTTAGCGTCGACGTTGTAATGTCGAAACTCCTTCGGTAAAGCTCCATACAGCCGCCCTATAGACCAAGCTCCAGAGGATCTTGGCCTATAGGGCGGCTGTATGTGCACACTTCACAACGGGTCCATGTTCTGCAACAACGAGTCCTGCATTAATTTACTGGTATGAACCGGCAGATCGTTCTGCTGGAAAACGTAAAGTTTCTGGGTATTTACGGTCACAAAACAATTTGCACAATGTGCAGATACTTTTTCGATAATACATTCTGGGTCGTTTACATTACACGCTCAAAACATTCAGTAGTCGCGAATATGCCTGGACCCTGGGCAAGTTAGCGACCGCTCCTGTGGTTAGTGTTTGTATCGTAAAAACATTTACTACTGCTTAATGAATAATGTAATATGTAGAATAATCTGTCTGTAATGTAGAACAATAAAGTCTGGCTTATATACGATATTACCTGTGGTTTCCGTAAGTTACCCGTAACATGCTAGTCCTATCCACCCTTCCAAAAAATATCAGAATATTACTCCATGGCCTTACAAAATCATAACCATCAATTAACGAAATCTATGGGTAACTTCTCATGATGAAGACTCATTTTTTTAGTTAACGACTGTATATACTATTATCACCGGTTATAAAGTTTAGGGCTCTAGCGGTATGCTGCGATTAACCAAACGTTACGATTTGGAAGCTTAGCCAGCTTTTCAAATCATAGTCTATATTTAGATTCGGCATAATTACGGACGCTTCTTGTTCAAAAATCCGAATATCCTTGTAGGCGTCCTGGCCCTTTTTCCTCGCCAGAATGGTAATCGAGGACTCTAACATGGAATACTTCGTCCTATCGAAAAACTTGTGGGGTCGGTCTTACAAGACGGCAAATTTTCGTGCTGAACTTGTACGCAGTATTGAAGTGGCACAGTCTTATGGACAATATGCCTGGTCGGAAGTAATTCATTTTAATTCAGGAAACGATTTACTAACCAATCTAGGACAACTTGTTTGTTAGTTGTAGTTGGCCCATACCGTATTTATACGGAAATATTTCAGCATTTTGCAAAAATACGCCTAAGATAAATAGTGAGGATAGCTTGATTTCAATAACATTTTTTGTTTTCAGATTTAAATGTTTTAGTCGATAGTTTAAGTAGAATGCAAAACTAAAGATAGAAGCACCCAATTTATATATTTATTTAAGCGAAAAAATAATTCGTCACAAATATTAATATACATCACAGTAGTGAATATCAGACAATATGATCGATCGTCGAACTTAACGTTGATCCGCTTAGATCAGCGTTTTATTACTGGTTTATTAATGAAAAGTTCAAAAAATGCCTCTGTGAAGTGGACCTGCTTCTAGAACCCAGGACGAATATTTATTTCTCTGTAGTTATTTTAGAATGTGAAGGGGGCTTGGATGCATCTGCTTCCTATTTATGCGTAATTTTGAAGGAACCGTTTTTCAAACGACATTTGCGAAATTTTATGTGGTAAATCATCTCAAGCTACTATCAGGTATACGATTTGTATAGTATTGTCGAATAAAAATCAATTTTTCTGCAAGATCGTGGCTCAGTGCTCGATGAAATCGAAAGTAGAATAATTAGAGAACAATGCAAGTTATTTACATTCACCGTAGAATGTAGTAATCATTAAAGCGTTGTGGACATCTGACCGACCTACTAAAATGATACTAAATCAAAACTCTTACACCCACCATACATAGTGTAGACACGCCAGACCAATCAAGCTAAGGTACCCACTTCCCGCGGGGGTTCTAGGGAGCTATTTCCGAGAAATTTTGTTTAAGCGAAGCAATAAGAAAACGTGGAAAATGGCAAAACTGCAAGGAATTTCGAGATTATCAACGTTCGCCGTAATAAGAAAGCTAGCATTCCGGACAGAGTATTTGACAAACACAGAAGTGGCAATTGCGCACGCATTCTGTCCCGCTTCGAAACGTTCACCGCTTGACGTGATTGAAACATAGATAATACCAGAACAACGAGACAATTATAGTGGCGAATAAAAATCGTTTAAAAGAGTTGTCTACGAATTTCTGTCCAATACATTTGTATAGCGGTTGTCTCCTTTTCTAGTCTACTATTAAGCGTTACTGAATGAACAGCATCGATTTCGTTCTGGTAGACAGATCAACAATGGCTGCGTGTAACGTTTTATTGGACAAAACAGAGTCGTCCTAATTGACCCCGTCGTAAAGTTCAAAGCAGACTTCGACCCGCACCCGAGACTCATCCTTTTGAAAAGTTGGGACAACGTTGAGTGCGTTTGGAAATAGGTAGGTCCATTGAAAAACATCCGCCCCAACGCTAGAATTACCCTGCATAATGGTGTCATAAAGAGAAACGCCATGAGTCGGCATGAGCTGGCAAACTTAATCCGTTGCTCTGATTTTCCTTCATCGTCAACGATCTTCTACCGACAATGACACCTTCTGGTGTACATAATCTTGTACATGGCCAACCTCATCATGTACAGCAAAAGTAGATTCCGATTGTAATGAGCTCTTTCGAGCTTCCGTCTCGTTTATGTACCGTGGCTTGACGCTAACCGAGGAGATTAGTCAATGATGACATTAAAGGAAAACGAAGGAGGCTAAAGCTATCCCAGTTCCCGGTAAATAATCAGGCGAAATAATAGTTATTCAAGATTTTCAAAGATAAGCTAAGCGCCCGATATCTACCGAACTTGTATACTGTAATGCTGGCACTCTCAAAACGAAGTTTTTACGCAATTGCGGCAGTCTAATACATTTACTGACAACCACTCCGACGTTCATTCAGGACCTTCGTTCAGCTTTCCTGATTCTCCCAGCCTACCGCTAAGGTCGAACGAACAGGCAAACCGACTCTATCATTTTACTTACGAAATACAAGGGTATTACGAACCCAATGAGAGCTAAAGCTACCTCTTCTCGATATAAGTCGGGCTACTGTAGCAGGAAAAACTTCATAGCTAGTCAGATATATGCTTATACATCTACACAGCAGTATCTTGAATGTTGGACATCTTTGTTTTAGCTTGTACTAACTTTGTCAGTCTAGCAATTCCGGAGACAGTCGTATGCTACATACATTGAACGAGCAGTGATGGCTAGCAATTTTAGGCTGAACTATATCGATGCGTATACCAAGCGGCTCCTACCAAATGTCCACGAACACGCTTTCGTCTTTAAATCACTCATGTTATGCTATCATAATCCAGGTTAAAAGCCAGAAAAAAAAGAAAACAATAGGTTGTGTTAATCGATTGTTGCAACACTCTGGTAGTTTCCAAAGGGATCGTTGTGGCAGAGCACAGAGAGACGAAAATGCTTTCAAGTTCTTATTTAGCGATTACGTGAATAGGTCATTTCTCACCCAAAAATAGAGCGTCGTGGAGTGCGCCCTGGGATTGCTATGACGTATAGCCAATATCAATTAGACGAAAGTCTTCATAAACATTTGTTTATTTGATGTTGGCATATTAGGATTTCGCTCCTTTGAATCAGCATACCAACTTGTTTTGTGATTTTGAAATAATTTCGTTTAGGCAGGATTAAAATTTTGGAATTATCGGATCTTCAATATGGGACAGTCGAGCCAGACAAATCTGATCTTCACAAAAGCAAATGTTTATTTGTGAGCGATTTGTGCCAAAGCTAAAGACAATGTTACTGTGAGATGAAAATCAGCAGGAGGGCAGAAACAACTTAGGTCGTTGCATGCCAGTATCTTTTGACAATATCCATGTTAATGTCGGTAAAAATATAGCGGTAATTATGGTGACTGGCATTCTGCTCATATGAGGCACTTTGAAAACGCTGCCTGTACTATATGTGTTAGGTCCCTAAGCAGATGTTTTGAGGTTTACCTACTGAACTGTTTTGGCATGGCATAGGACAACAGACTATCTTCAATACGAAATTAACCTTTCTATTGCGACCCCAAAGATTCGCTGCAAATTAGCAAACAGACACATTGCCACCGCACTATCGTGAAGCGAAATTATCGCCGACAAAGCGTGCCTCGTTTCCCGTTAGATTTACATATTTAGAATTTTTTTATATCGGCTCGTTTTCATAGGCCGGCATCGATAAGTCGCACTAGATTTAAAGTAGATCGAAATATTAAGATCGTCGACTTTTGCTGATATCTGATATGAAGTCGTCGCGCCGTAATTACCTGCTATTGGGTGTTCCTATCTAAAACGTACTCTGTTGGGTTGCCTACAGAGACATTTGTCTAGCTCCTTTAAAATACTGGGGTTTCCATAGGCAGGAAACTAAGCCTACAAGCAGCAAGACTGACAGCCATGTGCAGTGCAGGATATTATCAATTGTGTGTTT